TAGATGCAGTTCTTTTGAAAAAAAACAACCACCCTTTTTCGAAAGAATGCTGTAAACCTCATTTTTTGAGGAAGAAGGGTTCTTTTGAAAAAGGGTTTTTTTCTCGAAAAAAACGCCTCTAGACTGCTTGTTTTTGGAAAAAACCTCTTTTGAAAAAGCGATCGGAAAAAGATATGCAAATTCATGCCAAATTTGCATATCTTCTTTTGACTGTGAAAGCAAGTCTAGACGTGCCCTAAAGGTTGATCTAAAAAGGGTCAGCAAATATGCCCAAAATGAGGTTTACAGTGTTCTTTTGAAAAGGGGTTTTTTTCTCTCCAAAGAACCTTATCTAGACTGCTTTTTTTTTTTCAAAAAGCTTCTTTCGAAAAAGTGATGGGAAGAGGATATGCAAATGAAGCATGTGAACATGCTAATCAGTGCTTCATTTGCATTTCCTTTTTCCTCATTTTCATTTCCTCTTTTGCAAGAGGAAAGCAAACTAGACACAGACTCAGTGATGGGCTGCAGTGAAACTAACACAAATGATGTCAACTGGGAAAAGCAGCAGTCAAGTTTCCAGGGTCCCTGGTTCTAGCCTCGTGGGGTGGTGGGGTCTCTGGAAGACTGGTAAGTTCTGTGTCCTAAAAAGCTTGCCTGAGAAGAGCAGCTCCCAAGTGTGGGGCTTCTAGTTCAACTGGTGGAATCCTGAAAGGGTCCTTTGGAAGCTCATCAGAATTGAAATGGTCCAAAGTCAAATCAGCAAATTTCAGTGAAAATGTGGGTTCATCAGAAATGTTCTGAACCTGACATTGTAAGTTTTCTGGGACAGAGTCTAACTCTTGATAGCTCTTTCTACCAGGCCAAACATAAGGAGTTCAGTTGGAGCCTCTGATTGTTACCATTGTACAAATAAAATAAAAAGATCCTACATATGCAGGATAGTCAGTGCTCCCTGTAAGCTGAGCGCTTGGGCCTTACCATTGTGCAAATAAAATAAAAAGATCCTACATTTGCAGGATATTCAGTGCTCCCTGTAAGCTGAGCGCTTGGGCTGCCAGAAAAGTTTCCAATGCCTCCCAGCTGATCAGCAGAGCACCCACAGTGCCCACAGCATATGTTTCTAATAGTGGTGTACATCCATAAGTGTGTTGATACACATAACAAAATTTGTTCTACATGTAGCTGGAAAAAATTAGAGGGAACATTGGATATATTTCAAACAAGCTAGAAAAATTTAGAGGGAACATTGGATATAGTTCAAACAAGGGATTTGTAACTACATTAAAATTAAATTTGATGAAATTAAATATGATTCTATACGATACTGTGACTTTAAATGAAAACCCCCCACATAATCAAACAACAAGTAAAATATAGGTATACAAAATTGGGAATCACTGATTAATTCTAATCTGGAATGAAACCACAATAAGAAGAACACGTAATTAACACCACCCACTTATAATAAGTATGGGTGTGAGGGAGAGACAAACAGCTGGCACATGATTTCATTATCAAAGTATCCAAGTCATTTTCAGCAGTAGACCAGTTTAGTGGCAATAAACCTTACACTTATTTTCTAGCCCCTGTCCTTTGCAATCCATACAGAAAATGTAAACCCACGCAGCCCCCATGCTAGAGTTATCCAGCAGATGGAGTCACTGAGTCACCCACAATGCAAAAGAGAGTCAGATGAGTTTTTACAGGCATAGTTCTAGCAATCAGGTTAAGATGGGTTTGTTAATTAGTGGCAGTCTGAGGTCAAGTGAATCCTTTGTCTGTATTATGTTTTGATTCTGTGACTAATTACACCAGATGGAAACACTGATTAATAAGAGAGTCCATATTTTTCTACACTGAAATAGCCAGGCCTTCCAATCAGCAAAACCACAAATATTTAGAGATGACTTTCATTTTGTTAAAATGCATGTCACATTTCTGCCCAAGAATAAAAGAAGTCTGAGTCACAGTTTGGCTTGTGCCTTCAACGGCAATTGTATCAATCTTAAGAGGAATATCCCTGTCTCTGGCAGGGGCAACCCATGAGCCTAGGCAGACTAGGTGGTCGCCTAGGGTGCTGCCGGACCGGGTCCCATGATTATGTCACAGCCATTGACTGCTCAGCAGGCGGGGGTGCCGATCCGGCCTCGGGCCGCTTCTGGTCTCTGGAAGAATTTGTGTGATGGGGAGAGTGATTGTTACACAGCACTATGGGATGAGGCTACATCAGCAACCCTTGTGCTTTGTTTTATCTGCATCTGTTCTCCTTCAAGCTTTGGGACAGATAGGAACATATAACCTAAGAAAACAGTTCACCTGATTTGATGTCAAGAATGTTGCAAGAGCAGTCAGTCAGTTCTGGTGATTACAGGGTGGTGGATGCTAAAGTAAACAGTGTTTGAAAATTGACATTTACAATGCAGCAGAAGCTGACAATTCCCATTGTATTTGCTATCTTTCCGATTGTAGGTAAGGGAAATACAGTAGTACATTTAATTAGCTGCTTGATCAGTGTAATTTTAATTTTTCTGCCTACGATTTGCTGTGATCTTTTCTCAGACCAAAGCTCTAGACACTTAGGGTACGTCTAGACTACAGGCTCTGGGCGCTGCTGCTGATGCTCCTACTGGTGCTGCTTGGTCCCCATTCCTGCCTGGCCCCTTCCCTCCCTGCAGTGCCCGGAGCGATGGGGCAGCGAGCGGGGCCATTCTCCAGGCTCATGCCCGAGGGCTGCAGGGAGGGAAGGGGCCAGCCAGGAAGGGGGACTAAGCGGCGCCAGCAGGAGTTTCCGACCCACTGGCTGGACTCTCAAACCCCCTCCATGCGCTTCAATTCAAGGGATGTCAGCTGCGGGTTGAAGGAGAAACGGGCCAGGTCACGTGGCAGGCGGCCGGGGGCAGCGCGGGGTTTTAGTTTTGCTTTCAGGAGCCGGCTTTGTCAGATAAAGCGGAATGTCGGATTAGCAAAGGTCGGATAATCCGGACTCTAATGTACTTTGAATGGCTTTGAGGAGGAGCTATTTCAAAATAGCAGCAGTGGAGCATCCACACTACTGCTATTCCAAAATAGCTATTATCAGAATAGACATTATTCCCCGTGGAATGAGGTTTACTGAATAAGCTGTCCATTATTTTGAATTTATTTCGAAATAACGAAATTGCTGTGTACACGCTCGTATTGTTATTTTGGAATAGTGGCCGTTATTCCGAAATAATGCTGCTGTGTAGATGCACCCTTACTCTGGTAAACTAATCCCACAAAGTCAATAAAAGAAAACCAAAGGAAGAAATAGGTAACAGGGGTAGAATGTCAGAGGGAGCTGAATGGGGTTCTTCTAGGTAAGGTCTTATCATTGTGAATGTCTCCTCACTGTAGTTGGTGCTGCTAAAGGAAGAGCAATTCTTTCTCTTTGTCCAGCTGAAATGGGGACTAAAATCTCAAGTTCATGAGATACAAGCAATTGGGAGTTTTGAGCAGAACAACACCCACTGGGGTTTGTTTTGATAGTCCCACACAATGGAGTGTTAACTGTGGAATCAGGTGTTGAGAAAGTCCTGTATTAAAATCTGATTAAAGGATACGAAAAAGGGAGTAGGAATAACTGCCTAATTCTGAATATGGAAAACACAAGGATGTTGTAATTGGAGTGCCTTAGAACCCAGTGCTAGGAATGGAATTGTTCTGTGACCTAAAGTCACAGTGGAGTATGACTCAGGAGATGTGTGTGTGTGTTTTCTCTTTAGTGTGACCTAGTCTACACTAGGTGTAGAATTAAGTTTGAATTAAGATGTTCAACTTCAGCTACACTAATTGTGTAGCTTCAGTCGAAGTATCTTCTAATTTTGGTGCTGTCTACATTGCGGGAAGTCAAAGGGAACACACTCTCCCTTCGACTTCCCTTTACTCCTCATAGAAGCAGGCCTGCCAGCATCAATGGGAGTGACCTCTCCATGCGAATTAGCCTGTCTTCACTAGACCCGCTAATTCGAACTCTAGAAAATCCACTGCGGCTGCTTCGATTTTATCTGTAATGTCGACATAGCCTTAAGTTATTCCCTGCTCTCTTGCCATACCTGTGTACAGTGCCTAGACCATCAGGGGCCTCTATGTGCTACTGTAATGTGGAGGTGGAACACTGACGGACGCACAAAATGCTTTCGTTTACACCTCGCTGAAAGAAGAATAACTTTGCCATAATATTTATCTTCCGGTAGCACCTCGAGGTCCTAGTCATGTTTCACAGAGACATATTCCCAGCCCTGATACTTAGTTGGGTGACTCCCAAGGCTGATGTGGCTCCATGGTTTATGTACAGGGTTGCTAAGGCTGGGACTAGGGAGAGGAGGAAGTGAAGGTCTCTGCTGGAAACTCACTTTGTGGAATCCTCCATGGCTGGGGAAAGGCATATAATAGAGCCAGCCAACTTGCTGGGCTTTGGCAGCCCAGGATCCTCCCCACTCCCTCAAAACAGCTGATTCTTCCCCAAACCTCCCTTCAGTCTCAGGGGTGGGGCAGCAGAGGTGACTCCTAGTAAGTCTGGAGGTGCATGCCCCCCCCCATCTTTTAATTGCTAAGTGGGGCGCCCCAACACGTCCCCCTGCTCCTGTGGGTGGCTGCCTGCACCCCCTTCCCTCGCAGGCACCTTGCCACGGAGCAGGGCCGGGAGCCAGGCCAGATCCCCTGCGGCTGGCGCTGGCGGTGGACTTGCTGCGCC